AACTTTGAATCAATTTGACTGTATGATCTGGCGAACTGGAAAGTGCCTTTAGATGAGGTGTGGTGTGAATTGGCGCTATAGAAATAAACTAAATTGAATTTAATTGAGGTGGTCCAGACTTCTGACCAGTCTGCTGGATGGCAGACCTCGGAACATCTAGATCAGGCTTCCCCAATGTCGGTCCTCGAGGGCCTCTGTCCTGCAGGTTTTAGAGGTTTCTCTCCTTCAGCACAGCTAATTCTGTTAATCAGCTATCAATGGAAGTCAGCTGTGCTGAAGCAGGGAAACCTCTAAAACCTGCAGGACAGCGGCCCTTGAGGACAGACTTTGGGGATGCCTGATCTACATACTATGATCTACATACTAGGAGTAAAAAGTGGAGTAAAAAATAGCTTATTATGGCCAGTCATGTCCCTTACAAATGGAGTCACCTCTGTCCCTGAGTGAGGTCTAGAAGCACAAGATCTATATCCAGCCATTCAATAAAGATCTTACTACATCTTATTTTTGCATTTGACCAATTTTTTTTTTTTTTTTTTTACCTTTATTTAACCAGGAAGTCCCATTGAGATTCAGAATCTCTTTTTCAAGAGAGACCTGGCCAAGGTAGCAGCCAAACCACAGGAAGTTCATACATATTTACAACATAATAAAAAAATAAATAAATAAATAAATAAATAAATAAATATATATATATATAAAATAAAAAATAAAATCAGAGCAGTATGTTAAAACACATTGGGGACAATTAGATGAGCCCTAGAATTATATATTACCTACTGCAGAATTAATTTGGGGGGAAAAAGTTAACAAATAAAGAAAATAAAAGATAAAAGCTAATTAAAAAGTGAATAAGCCTAGTTAACAATTATATTTAGGTTTCTAAACTAAAAAACGTAAGTGACTGTATCAGCATTAATGCCTCTAAGGTTGTATTGTTATAAAAAAATTTGTTTCTTTCACTCTCAGAGTGTTTTTCATGAATTTCTAATAGAAGCACTTTTGTTATCTTTAAGACATTTCTTGACATTGATTTTTTTTTTGCCATCAAAATATCCATATTTTTTGAATGTTACAAAGGTAATAAGATCTTATCCTGGAGTCCAATGACACCGTTGGCTTGAAATTTTGAATTTTTCGAAGTATTTCACTGAGTGCCCTATAAATCCAAGCATTAACACAAGCAAAATTTAGTATTTTTCAGTTGTTTGTTAATTCTGACCCTGCATAAAGTTTTTTTTAAAACTTTAATTAAATGTGATAACTGGATTAACTTTCAGACTGAGATAAAAACAGGGGAATTCACAGTGAACTGCTGACACCTCTCTGTGGTGGTGGTGGTGTGTGTGTGTGTGTGTGTGTGTGGGGGGGGGGGGGGGGGTGTATTTAGTGAAAGAGGTCTAAACCCCATAATTAAGCAGCCACACCAACAAGCGGGACAGTACCTCCTGCAGCCTTTAGGTGGCGCATTAAGCCACATTTTTTTTGCATGCCGCTCAATGAACCTGATGTCCTCCCTCATCACATCATTGCCACTGACCGTGGGTTCATCCTCCCACAGAGAAAGTGCAGACTCTGTCTCTGTGGGATTTGTCTCAGTGTGTAAAGCGGGTCCTCACCGGTCGTTACCATAAGACAGACCACCAACAGGGCTGTTATGATGTGCAGGGTACATGTCAATTAGAGCATGCATGAATCCCAAAGGAGCAAACAAGCTTTTTATTTACATGTGTGAACACTCACTGGGGTGGAGGGGAGCACTTTGTGTCAATTTACACATAGTTGAGATTTCTCGCTGATTAGGAATCCGATTTAAAGCATGAAGGTTTATTTCAATGGATCAGCTGCAGAGTCTCATGTGAAAGATCAAATTCAGTTCAGTGTGTACATCTATTTAAAGTCAGGGATATATTTTAATGTATGTGGCTCCGGTTACAGAGGCTGATCTCTCTCTCATTGGCTGATCCTGTCACATATGTGCTGATGAAGCCCGGTCTGTTATGTAACCAGCCTCTGTCTGCAGAAGTCTGCAGCTCAGACTGGTTTATCCGTTTCTATCCATTAAAGTGAGCATAGTAGTGATATAAGGTCAGCTGATCTCAGCTCAATGTAGCACAGGGAAAGAAAACATGGAGTCAACTGAAAAGATGCTGCCGGTTTAAAGGCCCTGATTGGAGTCAGACTCTGGAGCAAAGTAACACTTAGATGTAAAAGCACCGTCATTCATAGATTTGTCTGCCACATTGTGAGTGGCATTCTTTATGACGACACTAACAAAAAGGCTCCACCTCAGTCCTGTTTGCAAAATTCAAGTCAAACTGTAAGACTGTGCAGAACAACACTGATATAACTTAATTATAAATATGTAACTAAAAGCTAAAAAGATTTTCATAACGTATTGTCAATTCAAAAGTATCTCCGTCCAACATGGTATTTTAGAATATATTTCATAATAAGTAACATTTTCAGGCTACTTTGCTCAAATGTATTATAATTATTAACAAAATAAAAAAATATCCAAGAAACATCTAATAAAATATTTTCCCAGAGCTTGTCTGAAAACCTCTTTTTCTGCAGAAAACCAAATACTGAATGTAAGTTTACTGCACTAAAGGCTAAAGAAGGGTTTAAACTGTGATATTTGTATGTTTATAAGGCTCAGCTGAGAAATAATGTTAATATAGAGATGGTAGGTATTGTAATTCACTATTTCTTACAAAAAAAAAAAAGGAACAGTTACAATACTGAATAATGTATGTAGGGGGAAAAAAATCCTTTCTCATTTTTTCTCTTGTATATTTTTTCTTTTCTTTATAGTCACAGGTAATGAAATACTGTCAGGCATGTAAACTCGCTGCTCTGACCTTTCATGTTATCCTTATTAATTGTTTTTATGTGTTTTTTAATATGCATTATTTGTTTCTTTCTCTACAGCTGCTAAAATTTCTCTTATCCATGAATCTATACAGAGTGCAGAGTGCCTATCTCCAGCAGCCACTGAGGTAGAGGCTGGTTTCTCTTTATCCTGTGTACCTACAGGTCACTGGGTAACATGGAGACACTGAAGAAAACACTCAGACATCAGGACAATTCAAAGGAAACCAATCAATCAAACATTGATTAAAATGTTGGACATTTGGGAGGAAGATGTGGAGAAAATTCACATATGCATGTGGATAAGATGGATTCTGCATGCAGAAAGACTGCAGGTCAACATTCCAAGTGATGACAGCAATGCAACACTGCAAAATCTGATTTAAAAAAAACTAAGCAAAATGTCTCATAAATAAGCTTGTTTTCACTTAATTTAAGCAAATATATATATGACGATCCATCAATGGAAAGAGTATTGTTTCCCTTAATATAAGTTGGTTAGATATTAGGGAACTGAAATAAGATAGTTGAATTTTTTATCTTTTATTTTACTTGTTTTACTTGTTGTTTCAGTTTGCAAAATTACTTATCTGTTCTTTTTTATAACCAAATTGTTTTTTTTTTTAATATCCTTAACATTTATATATAATGTTATTTTTACTTGCAAAACCTGCACACAGATACCTCCTTAATTCACAACCTTTGTACCCAGTCTGTGTGTCACTGAGGGCTGCGCTGACTGTATATTATATATATATATAAAATGCTGCTATAATAAAAAATTTAATTCATACTGTTGTTATAATCTTTATTATAGCAGCATTATATATATATATATATTAGTGCTGTCAATCGATTAAATTTTTTTAATCGCGATTAATCGCATCAATGCCTGAGTTAACTCGCGATTAATCGCATTTTAATCGCAAATTTTTTTTCTGATTGAAAATCATTTAAATACTCTCGATGACATACAAAAAATACATACAGGCTAGGTTTGTGCCAATGTTCTTTTTTTAAAATGAAAACAGGTCACAGACACTGATTTATGCCATAGAAACATATGGCAAGAAGATGGGGAGGCATGTAGCAAAAAATAACAAATATGTAGCCAAAAAAAAGGCCCTGAAAACAGGCTGATGTAAAAGACAGTCTTTTAGTTACCAGACACTCAACTTGTTTGTTGGTGGTGGGGCTTAAAGAAAAGGCACTAGCGCTACCCAGTGTATGAGCATCTTTTTCCCTTGAGGAGCTCCGCTCTCGAAGCCTATGAGAAATGCATAGACTGGGGGAAAATAGCCCCACCTTCCCGCAGGCTGCAGCGGGATGTACTTGGAAAATTTTACCATAAAACCACATAGCGTTAATCTCACGTTAAAAAAATTATCGCCGTTAAAATGGCCTCGCGTTAACACGATAATAACGCGATAATTTTGACAGCACTAATATATATATATATATATATATGTATATATATATATATATATATATATATATATATATATATATATATATATATATATATATATATATATATATATATATATTGTGTGTGTATATATATATTTATATATACACACACAAAAACAAGAGTAAAGCGTTTACCATCCCAATAATAGTGAGTAATCGACAAACAAATAGTAGAAAACCGTGAACTGGAATGGTTTTATCCGTATTTTAGTGATTCTACGAAAATTACTTTAAAGTTTGTGCATTTAGCCACTCATAATATGGCGGCGGCGCTGACGTACAGCCAGAGGTGGACAGTAAAGCTAGCGCGGCGTCTGTTCTTTTCTGACCCACATAGAACGAACTGCATGACCCGGCCGGCTTCCTCACGGCTTCACCCCACGTGTTCTCATTTTGGCGCCACGACTTTCCTAGAAATGGAGTGTATGAGGTATCCCTCCGCGGGTAGACCCCCTCTTCGTGGACCTTTTTACCTTCTTCGCTCAAAGTTCCGGTTTCTCCGCCTGGACTTTATCAACAAACGGAACCGCGGCGGATATTTAGGCGATATTGCGGTTTACCGATAACCAAGTTTAGCTGGTTTGTAAGTTTTCGCGGGTTTTTCAGTGACGGTGGAAGGATACTTGAGTAGAACTACATAATGCAGCATACCAGCCACACCCACTCTGTTGGTCTGCTGCAGCGTGGGGTGAGAAGCACACTCAGAGTGGACCGGACAGGTCAGGACGGATCTGAAGGGGACTTCCACACCATGCTGCCTTCTTCCAGCTTTCATTTCACACGCAGAAAGTTTCCCCCCGGCACGAGTATTTAGACACTCCGCGTGGATTTTATTGGAATACTTTCCATTTTCTTCAGTGTTTTTTTTTCTCCACGGTAAGATTCTGCATTTAATTTCAGTTTTACTTTATTTTTTTACAAACATTTAAAACGCGCTGCGTGTTGCAAATCCCGGGTGAAACGCGTGGGCGCACACTTGCGTGGACACCGGCTCCCCCACTACGCTTCACTCGCAGCTAAAAGCCGGTTTTCACGTGTTGCTCCACAGCGGCGCGACCCACGTCAGCGTTTAAATGTCCCACTGGAGAAGCGCTCCACGGGTTCATTCAAACACGAGTGGGTATTTTTGCACGTCAGTGACCGAAAGTCTGCAAGTTCTGTTCTATACAGAAATAAAGTACATTTATATTTTTATTTTAAACTAAAAAAAAATTAAGCAGCTGTTTTTGTTCAACTTTTTTTAAGTTGTGCATTAATGTTAGAAAATGTTTTAAGAAGACAAAAGTTTTAGTTCGAATAAAAGTGTTTTTTTCTTTTTGTTTTTTTGTTTTCTTCCGTGGGTTCTGGTTCCACGGGCTGTGACGATGCAGACCTGCCGGCTGTAGTGCAGCAAAGGGCCGCTTTGTTCTGCAGGAACCCCCCCTCCCAGGATGAATCGGGTCGGTCCGGGTCTAAGCTGCGGGGTTTCACCGGCCCACGCTGCGTGGTTCCGTCACGCGCCGGTTCCTCCAGCTGGAGGGAGGGGGGCGGTTATGATTGTAAAACTTCTGTATGCGTTAAAAAAAAACTTTTTTTGTTTTTACTCCTAGCTCTTTGTGACGTCATGGTTTCCAGGGGCTGGAAGCGTAAAAGGGGCGGGGCCAGTGTGATGTAAACACGTATAAATGAGCCGCTGCAGCCGTGTGGGGTTCAGAGGGAGAAGCCGGTCTGAACTTTCACTACAACCAACCTGCTGCTTGTGATCGGCTCTCTGCTGCTCACACTACGCTGCTGCTGCTGGATCTGATTTTTATTTTCTACCTCCTGAATTTATTCAGTTTTTTTTTTTCTGGATTTCTTTTCTCAGGCTTTTGGATCAAACATGTTGACCAGTTTCTCCCAGTCGCCGGACTGGCTGAGCTCCGAGCCCTTCATGTTTGAGGACGTGCAAAACTTAATGAAGGAGCTGGACTACCTTCCGACGCCCCCCCAGTCCCCCCCCATGAAGGCCGGCCAGGGGGCCGGGAAGCCGCTGTCTAAGGAGGACCAGCTGAGCTACGTGTCGGACATCCTGCTGGAGGACCAGGACCTCCAGCTCCTCAACTGGACCTGTGACTTCTTCAACTCGGACTCTGCAGAGAAGGAGGGCGACTCCTGCCTGCCGTGCTCCCCCCTGGACGAGGCCACCGAGGACACCCTGTGGCAGTGCCTGTCTGACAGGAACCTGGAGGAGAAGCTGGTGTCGACGGTGCTGGGCTCCAGCCCGCTGCTCTCAGACATCGACACCAGCATCTTTGAGGACATTGTGGGCTCCACTCTGAACTGCCAGGACCTGATCGGTGCTCAGGAGCAGCAGAGCGAGGCCACCTCAGACTATGGGTCCGCCGGCGGGGAGATGTCCATGTCTTCATCCAGTGATTCTGGTGAGTAAAAGTTACCTGCTGGACTCTGATCTCTAATAGCTCAGATAATCAGGTCAGGCTGTAATCTGGTTGGAATCGGCGGCGGATCACTTGATTGATGATTCATTAATGTTTAGAGGCTGTCAGCGAGGCGCTCTTTGCTCTCTGCTAATCTGCCCGCTGCCCACCCACTCCTGTAATCTGGATTGCTCTGAACTGTGTGTGGCTGCTGATTAAAGTGAGTGATTATCAGGGAGATGATTGCACGAGGCACGGTTCTGCTCTCCAGTCTGTAGGTGTCGCCCCTGCAGGACTTGTAACAAGTTAAAGGGAAGCTGGATGATGTGGATTTAAAGATGGAGGAGGCGTTAAAGTTTAGTTAAGAATATTAAGCTGCATTAATAAGCATGGACCTAACCTTTCTGTTTTCTCTTCTGCAGAAGAAGAAATCGACGTGGTGTCTGTGGGGTCCTCCAGCCCGTCCCCTCTGCCCGAGCCCTCCGCCCGCAAGCTGAACCCGGAGGAGGAGCAGCGAGCCATCCAGCTGCAGCACAACTACGCCGCCCCCTGCCCGGCGTCGCCGCCGCCCTCGTCAACTTACTCCCACAAGCGTTCCCGAGGGAGCGACGGTTCCTCCCGCTTCCACCACGCCACCCGCAGCTTCACCTCGTCATCCTCTCACTCCTCCCTGTCGCGGTACCACTGCTCCTCCAGGAGCTCGACGGAGACGGAGGACGAGGAGGAGCGGCGGCGAACCCACAATGTGATGGAGCGGCAGAGGCGCAACGAGCTGAAGAACTGCTTCATGCGGCTGCGGGATAACGTGCCAGAGCTGTCGCACAACGACAAGGCGTCCAAGGTGGTGATCCTGAAGAAGGCCAGGGACTGCATCTGCGGCCTGGAGAGCGAGAGCCACAGGCTGCGAGCCAGGAAGGACAAGCTGAGAGCGAGGCAGGAGGAGCTGAAAGCCCGGCTGGCGCAGCTGCGGCGGTAATGGACCACCAGGGGGGCGGGGACTATAGACTGAAGCCCCACCAGCCTCTGGAGCACAGACGCTCAGAACACACTCGTTGCCTCAGAAGCCATCCTTTATGCCTGGACTGCTGACTGTTGGAGGGTTTCCTCCCTCCGCCAGGGAAGCCCAAACTTCCCGCTCAATCCGGTTTTCCCAATAAACTTGAAATGGTTCTTTCAGCCGAGCTGGACACCTCCAGCTCAGCCGGGACGTGGACTGAACATGTGGTTCAGATGGACTAGGTCCTAATTCCTGATGGTTCTGATGATCCACATAGTTCTCATTAACTGATTTTAAAGCGTTCGCATCAGCAGAACCATCAGGCTTAAGTTTCTACAAAGATCAGAACTGAGATCAGCTGTAGATTCTCAGACGCCTGGAGACGTTCCTTTACTGACAGGAATGGTTCTGGTTCCTCAGACTCAGTTTGTCGCGTTTCCTTTTTTAACATTTCAAACCAGTTGCCTTCTTTGTGTCGTTGATGTGGTTCGGTTCTGCAGAAGGCAGGGATTCTTTTCTTTCTACATAAACGTTCACAAACCTACCTCCACCTGGCTGCAGTCTTTTTCTGTTGTACATTTGTAAATGTTTATTGTATAATAAATTATTTTGGTAGTTTTTTTTTGTTTTGCTATGGAATTTGGAAATGAAGCACCTTTAAAAAAAAAAAAAAAAAAATTAAGGAAATAAAATGAAACTTTAGATTTGGAAAGTCTTTGAGTTTTCTTATTGAAAGCAGCTGCTTATGAAGTCCATCTCTGGGGGGGGGGGCGGGGGGGGCAACTTGGGCTAAATGTTCAGATTTGTGGTTATGAGCATTTTATATTAAAGCTAAATCCTTACTGCCAGTTTCTGCTTCTCAGCTGCAATTAACGTTTGTCAGAGCGCACCTGGACCGTTCAGGTGTGTTTATGAAAACCTGTAAAAAGCAGCAGCTCATCCAGGATCTGCTCCAACTAAAAGGAAATACTGAAGCAGGCTCCTGGTCCATCCAGGAACTTTGAGCGTACAGAGAAGCAACAAGCATCTTGCAGGCCTCTGGCTTGCTAGGCTCCCTGGTTTTGGTTTGGAATGGCTGAAGGACAAAACCAGTAAAGCTAGAGAAGTTTTCAACTGGTGTGATGCTGCATTTAGGTGAAACTGCACAGGAAGCATGACTTTAAAAAAAAAAAGGTTTTAATGTAGCTAATTTTTAGTACAATTTGCAAATCAGATGTTCAAGATGTTAAATCTCAAAGGCATATCTTTTTACGAAATAAAAATTCCTTATGTTAACCTTCTCTAACCAGGTGCAGTCTACATTAGACAATTTGACTGTTAATCCTTTAAAGCCAATTGTATCATATTCAGTACAGGGTTTTTTTGTTAAGACCTCTACATCAGTGTTCTTGAACCCTGACTTGCAAAATAAGTCATGTATGGAACATGACATATAAAAGATTATAGATAAATGCCTTATCAAATTTAATGCAAATACATTATCTATTTTAACTGGCACAAAATTTATTTTTTGATGTAATTTCTCAGAAAGTAACTTCTCCAAACCACTCTTCCTATACAGAGGTTAAATGGGTCCATTTTCTTCTGCAGGTCTATCAAACTAGACCTTTAAATGCAAACACTAAATCACCTTTAAAGTGAGGAAAAAGTATTTCAACATTCTATTATGCAGGTTCTCCCACTTGGTTATCAAGCAGGGATCTGAAATTGTCAATAGTTGCACGTCTAGAAATAGTCTAAAGAAAATAAAATTATTTGCTGCAAATAAGTACCTGAAATACCTCCACTAGAAGTCTGCCTTCAAAATCTCACCTCCACTTAATTTATCCTAAATTAGAATCACCTGTTTACAGTTGTTAGCTGCATAAATAGACCTGTCCACCCAACACAACCAGTAATAATGCATCTACTAACAGGGCCAAGACCAAAAGACACTAGAGACTAAATTGTAGACCTCCACCAGGCTGGAGAGGGCTGCAGGGGAATTACCAGGCAACTTGGTGAAAAAATGTTGGAGCAATCATTAGAAAATAGAAGATAATTAAGACTCAATCTCCATCGGACTGGGGCTCCATGCAAGATCTCACCTCGCAGGGTCTGTGATCCTAAGAAAGGTGAGAAATTCAGTTTATATCGCAAATTCACAACACATCTTCAGGCACTTTCCAGTTCACCAGATCATCCAACAGATTGATTCAAAGTTCCTAAGGAAAACCAGTTGATTGCATCGACTCATTGACCTGAAGGCAATCCCTCACACTAAGCATGCTTTTAGCAACAGTGGAGAGGAAAAACTCCCTTTGAACAGGAAGAAACCTCCAGCAGAACCAGGCTCAGTGTGAGCGGACAACTGGGGTTCAAGGAGACAGAAGCAGACATAGAAAAAGCAACAGTAAAAGGCGGCCCCGTCCAGGAAAAGACAGCCAGGCAGACGAGCTCAGAGCCAGCTCCCATGTAAGAGGATGAAGAGAGCACATGCAGCAAGTCAGTCAGAGAAACAGGACTACACTGGAAAACAGGCAGAGCTCCAACATCTAGAAACAAAGGTGTTGATGGCAGCAGCACAGCTGATATTTCTCTCCAGGATGGAGTCACAGCCAAACAGGAACAGACCAGATGAAGCTACTATGAGAAAAAACAGAGAGAACAGAAGGTTAGAGATTGAACTAACAGATTCTGCAGAGTAGGAGAATAGAGATAGAATGAAGCAGAATGATGAAAAAGGGGTCCCTATGTCCTCCAGCAGTCTAAGCCTATAGCAGCATAGCTATAGAGATAGCTCTGCCTCGAAACTACGCGGGATGAGCTGCTCAATGACCTGAAAAGAGCTGGAACCACCGTTTCCATGGTTACTGTTGGTAATAAACTAAGACGTAACGGTTTGAAACCTGCTTTCATAAAAAAAAAAAAATGTTTCAAGTTAAAATGAAATCCTCTCCCATCCTCACTCATCAGAAATGATCTCAGACTCTTATTGATGCTCATAAATCTCATTGCTGGCTGGTAGCAGAATCCAAACATCTGCTTCAGTCCTTTCACCCATTTAGCATCCTTCTCATTGTTTCAGAGTTCAAATATCTTTGAATAATCAGGGAACTGGAAGTTAGACTGTAGCAGAGTTTCAGAAAGGATTCCTTACTGAGAGAGTCATGAATGAAGGTTACGCTGAGGAAGAGGATGTCAGTTTACAGGATCGCTAAGCCACAGATTAGGTTTGTTTTATCAAAGGGTGGAGGGAGACTCCTCCCAGCTCACATGAACAAAACAGACTGAAGTGAGTTTTCCTGTTTATTTTACCATGAACAGGTTCGGCCACCTCTGTTCCGTTTTTATCTGGGACGTCCAGATCCGGTCCCAGAGTTACTCTCAGCCCTGCTCCAAACGGTTAAATTCCCTTCATGAGCATTTGGTTATCAGCTCTGCGATGATCCAGGCATCTGGTTCAGATGTTGGAGAAGAGATGCATCTACTCACATCACCTGTTCTGATCCAGGCCCCTGGATCAGAGGGAAGACCCTTAACCCTCCTTTTTTCGGACGTTGGCTTTGATTTAGTATTTAAAGTCAATTCAGTTTATTTCTATAGCGCCAATTCACATTGATTCACATTGATTGATTCAAAGTTTTCTATCTTAGGAAAACCAGTTGATTGCATCGACTCATTGACTCTTCAGCAATCCCTCACACTAAGCATGCTTGCAGCGACAGTGGAGAGGAAAAACTCCATTTGAACATGAAGAAACCTCCAGCAGAACCAGGCTCAGTGAACTTAAGTTTTGAGGCAATGTGTTTTTAATGCATAAAAAAAGTTAAAAACCAAATAGCCACATTGGTAGTACAAATATGTTTTCAAGAGTCCTGATTACAGTTTTAACAGTGCAAGGTTCTGGTGGCAGCGGGGAAAATGCTGTTGCAGGACCTGCTGGACCTGCATTGAATGCTGTGAAGCCTCGTCCCAGAGGGCAGCAGGGAGAACAGGGGTGAAGGGTCATTGATGATGTCACGGGCTCGGGACACACAGCGCTGGGATGAAATGTCTCTAATGGAGGGAAGAGGAGCCCCCATGATCCTTTTTTTTTGCCCTTTTGACCAGTGAGGTGGTGTTTCCAGTCCAGGTGAGGGTGTCTGTGATGAGCACCCTCAGGATTTTGGTGATGCGTACCACCTCTGCAGGAATAGTTCCTGTACTAGATGTGTTTCTGTTTCGGCCCACCTGAGTAACATTACTGCTAATAAAATAAAGTGTGTTTGCTGCAAGGAGACACCTAATTCATGCAGGACAGGGGCCCCTGAGGACCAGATTTGGGAGCCATGTGATAAGACATAAGAAAATGTTAAAACCTTTGGAGACTTTGGTTTAAAGAACACAATTTTGGGTTTTAGTTCTGCAATATGGGAGATAAAACTGATTTTTTTTTTCTAAACTTATGTTTTAGCCCATTTCGTCAAAACTGAACTCTACATCACAGCCAGATTCATAAAATGTAAAAGGATTGATGATGATTGGTTAAAATCTGATTCAAACAACTCCGATCTACAAAATCAGTCAAAAATCTACTAAAAATTATAATTCAACAGCATAATTAAAGAAAACAAAGCATGTTATGAATCTAAATGAAAAGTGAGGATGAATTTATTAAATTTAAATCAATAAAGGTTTAAACAAATTTACTCTGGAGGAGAAGGAGTGTTTAAAATATTTATTCAAGCTAATTAATAGTTTACTTCACAGGTTCTGTTAAATTCTAGATTCTAAAGCAAGATGAAGGCAATTTAATCAGATCACCCAGTTCTACGTTTTTTAGCTAAAGAAACCAGCTGATTGCATCCAGTCATTACCCTAAATAGCTCTGGCTGAATCGGTTTCAATAATTAGGCTTCTTTTATTGCAGATCGTTACATGAAACCAGCTGTGAGGAACAGACCTCAGACCAATCACTTCACTCTCAGTATCAGACGGAAACAGACTGAAGCAGTCGGCTTGTTTCTGTCCAAAAGATAAAAAATGATAATCTTATGATTTTACAATCCTTGATTAGGTTACCTTTAATCAACCGGCAATTGTAGCCAATTATCATTTTGCACAGAGATTAATGG